TTTCCTTAGTTTTGAGAAATTTTGAAATTAAAAAGAGAAAAAGCAATGTTCGAGAACTTATTGGAAAGGAAGCAAACGGTAGCACCTTCAAAAACTGTTTTAGAAATATTTGAAATTATTAAAACTCAAGTATCTATTTTTGTTTCGCTGCGGTGGCTGAAAGCTTTAGCAGTTATTTTCGGCAACAGTAGTGACAGATGATATATCTTTAAAATTTTGCAATCGACGGTAACGACAGATCAACCGATCGGCTTACGTCTTTAGACACATATTTTCTTTCAACTTTTTTATCAATTAAATTCCATCATCTATTAATAATATAAGACCATTATATAGTCTATAGTGTCTTCGAGCAAGCATTCAACAATGATGATCAAATAATAATAATTTATTTTAGGAGAGATAATTAAACAAAATCATTTCTCAATCTGAAATTTAGACTAAATGACTAGAGATATAATGATTAAAAAAAATATTCAAGCTTGATAAATGAACTCGACAGTTCAAATTCTAATACATTTCTGCATAGCCTATAGTGACTGGCATTGTCAATTACCATCTGACTATTTTTTATTACTATCAGTTAAATTAGTAGAACCCAATATAATTAGCTGAAACATAAATAAATAGTGTACGTACCTTTTATAATTAAAACTGCAGACCATGTAGTCTATAATATTTATTATAAAGTCATACGCACTTTAATCAACGAGGAATACAGCTTATTTCTAATATTGACGTGAAACTTAAAGCTTCTCAATGAAAAACTGAAAGGATCAAAAACGCAAATAGCTAATGATCTCAATTGAAAAGAAAATATGGGAATGTCATTTTCTCCAATAATATGTAGGACAACAACACCCTTTTCTTCTGCACATCTAATATCAGATTGTTTTACATACTTTTATATGATCCCAAAATTGTTTTATAACAAAAATTGTAATTAATTGCTGAAATAAATTTAAAAAAATTGAATATATAAATATGCAGGTTTTTTTCCTTACGTCAGATAATCGAACATGTTTATGTGTAAAAAAAGCGATGTAAAAAACGCTTAAATATGAATTGACACATGCACACTAAAATTCAAATGTCAATCAATCGTATTTAATCATAAAAAAGTAAACATATTTTACAGCAAACATTTTTGCGATCATTTGATTATCATGCACTCGTTGTTCTCGATAATTTTCTGTAAAAATAATTAAAAACAAAATAATTCGTGAAATCTTCATAGTTAAATTATCATACCTCGATCCGTTAGCCAACGACAAACACGTTTATAAACATCATCAAAAACAGTCGTTACTAATGCTAATAAGATTTTTGGTAATAATTCTGTTAATGACATCAATGCTATTGAAAAATTTAATTAGAAAAACAAAAATAATCATTAAAATAATCTTACATGGTAAACGACCAGCTTTTAATTGTCGATCAATCCAACTTTGAAAACGAATTATAATAAGAATACAAACTGAAACCAATACAAGATTAATAATAAGCATTGGAATAGTTACACATAAACGAAATAATAAGCGTTTCCAAGCTGGATAATAAGGTTCATATTTATTTGTAACGGGAGATCGACGTAGAGTGCCTTTATATGTTGCTCGTGTTTCTTCTAATTGTTCCATATCAAGTGTATTCCATTGATATGCTAATTCAGCTTGTCGTCTTCGCCAACATATAAGAAATCCTGTTGCCCATATTATATTTAAAAGAGAATTGATAATAAAGAGTTTATCATCCAGTTCCTAAAATTAATCAAAACAAATTAATCAAAAACAGAACATTATCATTTCATCATTAAAAATTATGCACTCTATTGAACTGTTTGGTAACCACCTGATCAGTTAGGAGAAGTTCTGCAAGTATCACCGTTGATCACATGAGAGAGCGAAAAGGGCACAGTAGCTGATTATGTGATCAGAAAATACCTGAATGATAAACCGAATAGAATTTACAATCTGTGCATTGACCGCACAGGTTAGATGCTTTTGAGTTTTGAACATAATTGCAATAAGCTATCGATATTCACAGAGATGATGTGGGTTTTACATTAAAAAAAAAGAATTATTTTACTTGCAATAAAGTTCTATTATGAAGGAGTCCGTCTCATATTGCATGATCAGAGACAGTAGTTTCGAAAATATCACTTTTAATAGCAAGGCAAAGAATGCTGGCCTGAATGACCCGAAAACCTAATCACATGATTTTCAAGCAGCTCCTTTGAGAAAATCAAACCATGAACTTCATAGTTTTTTTTGTTAATATTTAATGGTTATTGTCCTCAAAAAATAAAATACTTATTCCCATGTTTATTTATATTTATGTTGCATAAAAAACTATTTCATGTTTTTTTCCAAAAAGAAATACGAGAGATAGAGAAATTGTCAGTGTGCATTTAGTCATTAAAAACTTGCTACATTTCGAATTATGACAAATAACTTTTCAAAAACTGACATTATATAAAATTTCAATTCAAGGCATAATGGTATTGTTTTTTGTATAATCGAATACATATAAACGTTAATCTGTTAGATCTACACACCTGACTTTGTCCGTTATAATACCAAATAAAAATACCATAAAGAGCTGGAAGACAAAGCGCTTTGGTATAAAAACTAAATTAAAATATTCTCTTAGAAAATTTAACAATGTTCTTCTTTTTATACCTCAACCAACAAAAATAAAGAGCAATTTTAACACCAAAATATTGTCGAATATTTTCTACAAACGATTCAATTTAATAAAACAAATTCAATATATTCTTTATTTATACCAATCGGTTGTGATTTAAAAATATTCTTCGGCCATACCCATGTTTCTCTCAAACGATTTAATTGCTCTTTATTATGCAATGGAATAACTTGTCGAATTAATTTTTTTTCTAAACCACGTTGAACTAAATAAAATTAATTATTATTTGATTTCACGAAGAAGAAGAAGAAGAAGAAAAAAAACAAATAAGAATAATTATTTACTTAATGATTGATCAATTTTAAATTTAATTCCATTTATAATTTCATTTTCAATAATTCTTATTGAATAAAGAAGATGAAAAACAATTGATTGTCGTTCTTGCGTGCTAAAAAAATTTTCTTCATCTTCTACACCTAAATAGAAAAAGAACTAATTATACTAAAAAAAGCTGCTAGCACAATCCCTAAGGAAGAAAAATGTGAAACACGATGTAGCTGCTATTACTAATAACAATGAGATTGTATTTTATCTTTTTTGTGGACACATTTTGTACTTAATCCTTCATAAATGCCATAAGAAAGTAATTCATATCTTATCAAGAGACGTTTTCAATATACGATTTGCGAGGCAAGGGATGAATGAGTATCGCGAAGCTGTCTGTCATGGTCTCTGACTGACGTCCGTCACAGTTGGAGACGTGTAGGATCGAGACCACCGGAAGGAAGAATAATCTAGGCTTTCGACTATCTTGCAGTGTGTGTTGCTGCCTAGTGACAGATTCAGTAGTTCTATATCTTGTCTACAGCTAATAGTAGCTGTTGCTCTATGTCGAAAGCCAATCTGACGCAGAATTCTTGTGCTCGATTCCTTGAGTCTTCTCTACATACTAACCACAAGAGTAAAGTTATGTCACAATGTAGTCAGCATGCTATTGAACATGTCATCTGAGACAAACAGTCGTAAGAGACTTATCCAGGGTAATTTCATAGCTGATGGTACTAAGGTTTGGGCACAGCATCGTGTGGACAACAGAACAGAGGAGTTGCTGAGAATAGGATCGGAACTATGAGAAAAATACTTCTCTAATCGAAACTACAGGTTATAGTTAAAAATTGTATAGTTTTAAGTGAATCATCTTATAAATTATCAATTAAAACATAGTTCAAGAGAGATGACCCAAAATGTACTAGTCGACGACTAAGTAAATAAAAAATGAATACTAAAGAATTTTTTTAAATGGTATACATGTATAAATTCTGGAATAGTTTTCTATAAACCGAAACCCAAAAGAATTAAGATCATCGAGAATAAGCCAAAAAAAAAACTTGATCCCAGCCCATCTATAGCCGTGGTCATGATAGTTTCTGATTGACGTCTATGATAGCCTATGTGGAGAGAAACGAATAGGTCCAAAATTTCTACTCCTATACTACAACAATTCTTTTAGATTGTGTTTCACAAACGACCTGAAAAATAATATTTTACCTTCGTAAAATTCTAATTCATCAAACAAAAATATTCGATATCCTCCACCGAATTCTTGTTTGATCGGTTTTTCTAATTGAAGAGTATCGGCACCCTTCAAAATTCTATACAAAAAAAAAACAAAATGAAACTATATTCATATGAAACGAATTTTCACCTTTCATAAATAAAAGTTAAATAAAATCCATAAACACCTAATTAAAACAAACAATATAAATAATTTTTATTGACAAAAATAAAAACAATGAATTTCACCGGTAGTAAAATGATATTTAATGGATATACGAATATCTGGTTGAAGTTGAATGAATTTTTCAAGAAACCAAATTATCACATGATCATCAATACGTGCTGGAAATGTTAATAAAACATCACATTCATAATTTGTATCAGCATTAAGCCATAAACGATTTGTAATTGCTAATGAAAGATTAGAGAATCGTTTACGAAATACTGATTTAACTAAAAATTCCAAATATAAACCGAGACAAACCAAATAATATTTATCTACCGTTAGTAAACTGTTCAGACATATAATTTTTTTTCGTTTTTCTTTTCTTTCTTACATCTAAATAAAATAATAAATTCATTTTCTTTTTTTGGCAATATGATCTTTACGAATATAATAGAGACACAGAAAAACAAAAAAAAATTTAAGAAAAGAAACGTCGCTTTTTCCACACCAGTTGACATGAAAAGAAAAAAGAAAATGGATAGACCATTATTAATAATCTGAATGTATATTTAAATGAAAGGACGGTAAAAAAAAAACACAAAACAAAGTTTTTTTTCGCAATATTTTTTTTTAATTATTTCTTCGAATATGATCTTTTCTTGATAACATCAACAAAGTCATAGACCAATCGTTGTAATTCATTAGCTTTAAGTTCACTTATACGAATCACATCTTCATGAACAGCTTCATATGTTGTATCATAATCTGTTAAACCTTTATTAGTTATTAATGCAATACCAAGTGTACGAAAACCACAATGGGCTGCGAATGTTACTTCATGAACAGTTGACATGCCTAAAAGTAAATTTTCGAATTTTTTAAACTGACATATTGTTTTTCTTTTACGAATGGAAGAAATTCAATTTACAAAAAAAAACGTAATACTTGTTAAATGTTTAGAAGCTGAACATTTGCTTGTCCGCAAATATACAAGCTAGGATAGTTACGCACGGATACTGGTGCGTTCAGACGTATGTGTATTAAGACAATAACGTGTGGATGCTTGATCGTTCAGACATTTCCGCTCTAGGATGGGTCCTTATTGAAGAAACTTCTGAGAAAAACACAAAAAATATCACTTCGAATATATGATTTAGTTGTTTTGTAAGATTAGATAAATGATCAATAAGTGACAGCAACATTGAACGAGAATAGATAAACAAAAGTAGAAAGAGAATTTACAGAGACAGTCAATGTCTGATATACTCTTTTAGTGATTGTTAGCATCTATATATGTAGATTTTCAATCAAATTTTATAGTTGTCTATTGGAAGAAATTCTTTTCTTCTTGTGTTAATGGTTGACTACCTAACATAGTGTTGATGAGGGTAGGGCGGACGGGTCTTCTCTTCATCTATATCAACTCTCAAATCGTGCACGAAGAAATCGCTTGATCAGTTTGAGACGATACTCAAATAATTGAGTCTATTGTTTGAATTCTTATTATTGTACATTTTCCATTGAAAAATTAAAATAGAATCTGTTCAATGATCATCTGTTCTAGACCTCAAATGTTTATCCATAGTCTCAATAAAAATTTTATTTCTAATTTAACATCTATTCATTTTTAGTTCATCAAGCTAAAATTACTTCCTTACCAACAGCATCACCACCAAGTAATCTAAGCATCTTTATTTCAGCAATAGTTTCATAACATGGACCACCTTAAAATAGAATCAATAAAATAAATAAATAAATACATAAATAAAAATCTACCTAATCCACAATATACTCCTTCACGTAATTGAAGATTATATTTACGAGCAATTTTTTTCATTTCTAACAAATATTCTCGATCATATGCATGACCAACAGGTGGAAAACGTGGTCCTTAAATTCAAATACTATAAAATAAGTTTTATTCAATATTATCATACCAAATCTAAAATAAATACATGTTTAAAAACAGATTAGTTTCTTTTTGTTTTTTATTTACCTTTCATCATTATGACCAATAAGTGGATTATTTCCAGCTAGATTAGGAAAATTCAAATGATCTTTGATTAACATAATATCACCCACATTATAATCTTGATTAACACTACCAGCAGCACTAAAAAATAAAAGTTCATTTAAAATAAAATAAGCGTTAAAAGCAAAATACAAACCAAGTAACAATAAGTGAATGTGCACCAAGCATACGCATTACTCGTACGGGAAAAGCACACTAAGAATATTAAAACAAAATTTATAATCATATATTAATCTTATCGTGTCCATATAAAAGTCTTTAGCAAAATAATTTCTCATTCTAACTAATTATTTACGTTTATAAACAAAGATCAAATGAAAAATGAATCTCTAATTAGGAATAAAAAAGTGCATGATTTTCACAGATGATAAATACCATAGCTGTAGTATATCCTTCATATGGATGAAGACGACCTTGCATACAAACAACATAAAGACCATTAAATGTACCAAATACAAGATTGCTTCGATGACCAACAACTAGAATAAATAAAAAGAATTTTTTATATAAAAAATTACAAAACGATATATTGTTTTATTGAACCAGTTGATTTCGGAAAATGTGGAATATCAACATAAGGTATTACAATTTTATCAACAATTAATTCAGCTAAACCACCAAGACCTGAACCACATATAATAGCTAGTTCTGGTTTAGTTGGTACTAATTTTTGAATGAAAGCAACAATTTCTTGTACACGTTCATATGTATAAAAACTAATTTCGTTAAAAAATTAATTTTTAAAAAATAAAAAATTTATATTCATTTTTAACAAACCGATTAGTAATTGCATTTGGATGTTCACCAACAGACATTGGTGGACCATCTTCAGCAATATTTTGTGATTCTATTGATGATTTTGTATTATGAGACATTATTGAATCTAAATTTCAAGAATAAAATAAGCAAGCGGAATAAAAACAAAAAACAAAGACTAAAAGCTTACATATGCCGTAGACAGAACCCTCGACAATAATCTTGTGAAAAAAACAGCAGATGGTAATGATCAGGAAAGGATCAAGCACTAGATGTTGGTATTATAGCTTTGTTTTTTTTCTCTTCTTCTTTTTCTCGTACGTGTTATTTTTCTCTCTCTCTCATTATTATTCACATTCTATAGTTTCTAAAATGTATGTCAATGAAAAGGCAGGACAAAATACTCTTCATTTCATATACGTGCAATCTTTCCACTTTTATCTCATAGGAATGTTAAAAACCAATTAAAAAGACATGTGTACGTGACTAAAAATCGATAGAAAATACTAAAGAATTTAAATTTATAAATTATTTGTATTTATTTCTTTGTGCCAAAATAAAAAAAAAATATATATAAGCAAAACAACGGAGAATATCAATTAATCATATAGTTATATTCTATTCAATTTATAGCAAGATGCTTTTGAATAACATCGATTAAATCTTGTTTTTTTGTTCCTGATGCTTTCAAATTTTTTTCTTTACAATAATTTTTAAGCATCGGTATGGTTAATTTGGTTAACTAGAATAGAAATGCCAGAAGTAAGTAAATAAAAAGCAAGAAGTTTTTTTTTTTTTATGATCTTGTTCATACTAAATTATTACGTGCAGCAGCTTCAACGTCAACATCATCGTCTGATTTGGTCTTTTTTGAATTCGTTGATGTAGCAGCTGCATCGGCCTAGAGATCAAAATTTCATGAGAAAATTTGCTTGATTTCGAAACTTTTAGGCTTTAGTTTTAATTACAAAAAAAAAAACAAGCATAAACCGGTATGTGATTTAGGTCCTTAAAATAGAATCCGACGAAAACAATCGTACACGATACGATACAAGTGCAAACACAGATACGATAAATAGTGCATCGTGATTTTTTACATAGTCTATGACAAATAATAAATCAGGGTCAAAATACTATTTTTCAAAAACAACACAACAATATACACGACCTTTGAAATTTATCGTAATAATATAAAACATGTGACAAACTTATCATAGACATTCAACTTTCAACTAATATATTTTTTCGCATTATTGCAAAGTTGATATTTTGAAAATCTTATACTATGATTAAGAGAGAGACAGACAGAAAAAAAAGATGTGCTGAATAAGGATTTTTTTTTTTTTTACATTTTGATATTGAATTTTGATTTAAAGATATTTGTAAAGACTTATAAAATACATTTGAAGAATTATTTGCCCTATTGTGTTATTTTGTAAAAATTATTTCTCGTGATTAATTGAAACAAATTGTATTCTCACATCGGAGTATATATATATAAAGAGCAAGAGAAATATCTTTAAAACTAGAAAAACTTCAATCACTAGGTCACGTCATTTGTCCGAAATGTTGCTTCACAACACTTATCATTCAATAAACGGATATTAAAATTGATGTTTTAATTTATCTGACTAATGCATCGGTGTTCTATGTACCGTCATGTGTACTCCGAAGAACTATGAGAATAATAAAATACCATCATAATAATTCAATTAAGAAGAAAAATTCTTTTCGTATTTATTCCAAAAAACAGATTCAAATCAATGAATCTTGAACAATAATTTAAATATTAACTCATTTGACAAAACTAGCTGATCTATAATGAAACAGTTATTTATAATAACAACATATTCTTACTTCAATGCTTAAGGACTTTTCTATAATACACAATCTAATAAGAATAATTTATGAAAAGAATTCTTTCAAAATGATTGAGTTTATTTGTATTTTTATTTTAAGTCAGAATTAAATTACGACTGTAAAAGTATTTATAGAAGATTATCTAGGTTGCGCTATAATTATCTTTCCGATAAAAAATTTAATTATCTTCACTCTGCTCGAAGATATTGGACTGACTTTTTCTAATCAACGACGAAGAAGTATTCAATGTGTTCTTTTTTCATAAGTAAATGATGAATGAACACTACTTTCAGTTGTTAACATTACCTGGAATACGTATTGTAATCTTTTACGGGTACGGAAAAAAATAATACGCATATTTTTATGATCTTAACGTGAGATAGAAACTAGAAAAGTCAAAACAACATTTAACTAAAAACTTAAAATGATGCATGCAGACAAAAATGGTAGAATAACTCAATGCAAATGCTCAAAATGATGTTAATTAGTATCAATGTACCGTTGAAGTTTCTCAAGGTATAGATGGCTGAGAATAGAAAACTCATTTGAGATCAAACAAAAACTAAAGACTAATGTTTTCACCAGGTTTGTTGAAATTCGGAGGAGCGATTGACAAATACAGAAACATAGTACGAGTCATCTGCACGCTGAGTTAAACGATGGTCACACAAAGAAATCCCGAAAAGACTATTCTCGAGACATCATTTTTTGCATGATATTTAATCGGTTTTGATTAGAAAAATATGAATTGAATAAAAACTAATATGATATTCTGAAGCAACATCTAAAATGAAGTGGATTTACATGTATTTCAAAAATTTTCACAACTTTTTTTTTTTCATTAGAAAATAATTCGTTCTTGGTTCTCCTCAGAATTAGAACAAAAAAATCATGTCTCGACAATAGTCTTTTTGAGAGTTCTTTGTGCGGTCAGAGTTCTTCCTTCTATGTTTTTATATTGTTTTCAAGTGCTTAAATAGAACTATCAAACCATATGAATACTAGTCTAGTCAATCGTTGGGTTGATAGATAAAAATAATAGATCATTCTTAGAAGCCATGCATAGTGTTCCTTCGACAACCATTGACTATTTCAATCGATCTATGCACAGCACAAACAAGTGTTACAGATCATGATTTCATAAGCTTTCTATCGAACTCTTTATTTCCTTCATATTAAAAAAATTTTCATATTCTAACCTTTCGTTTAGTTGCTGATCTTTTTGTAACACCCATAATATAATCAGGTGGAAAAATTGTTTGTTTAATTTCTTCAATATATCCGGCTACTTTTTTATTTTGATTTTCAACATTTGGAATTGTTAAATCAATAAATTCTTCTGGTTTATCTTTATTTAATGCTGTTGCTTCAATATTTCTCCATAATGTTTGTAATGCTGGATTTTCAAATTTATCAGCACGATATTTAAATTTTAAATTACGTATGACATTTTTAAATAAATCAACTTTATCATCTGTTAAACGTGCTGTATCATTCTTAGGTAATGTTCGTATATCATCAGCATAGGGTAAATAATATACATGAAAACCATTCGATGCTAAACGATCGTTTGGATCTTTTTTATTTATTTCTTCAGCTTGTGGAATAAGTGCAACTAGAACAAAATTTAATAATTATTAGTAGAAACAAGATTATGATTTTTGTTACCAAGACGTGGTGGTGTATTTCGTCTTGCTGTAAATTGACATAGAATAAACATATTTTTTTCTAAACATTTTTTTAATAAAGCATTAAATAAACATGAACTTCCTTCAATATATTTTTCATCGGGATAAATAAAATGACCGGGCTTAACATAATGATGTGGTAATAAACATGAAAGACTTTTAAAACCAAGTATTTCAAGACCGGGATCACTAAATTTTTTTATTGCTTTTATTTCATCAGCATCAAATAATACACGACGATTTGATACATCTATACCATATTGTATATCAGATGGCATAAGAATTTCAGCTAGAAACAAAACAAAAAAATTATATTTATAATTATTAATATCATCTATAAACAAACCTGTTTCAGGAAGATAATGTTTTGTGACAAGTTTTGTTTCCATATTTGTTTTCATATCTAATTTAATCTTGGTAGGTTTTGGACAAGGACGAACCTGAATATCAAGACTGTCATAAATTCTATTGTTTATTATTCTATAATCTATTTACCATATTAAAAACTGATACAGAAAGTTGTAATGGTGTTCCATCAGACGATTTTCCTAATGAAAATGGTACAGTACAATAAGCACGTTTTTTATGTTCTTTTGAATAAACAAGTTTTAATAATTCATTTAATCTTCCTGTTGGTGATTGATTATTTCTTAAATCAAGTTCATCATCACTTAACATTAAAACATCTTGAAAAAATTTTTTATAATCAAATTTTGTTATTGTTTCCGTTAATATAGGAAATACTTCAACTTGAATACCAACATCATTTAAATCTTTCGCACGTTGTTTAGCTTGTCGTTCTAATACTAAATTTGATGCATGTGGTCGATCATTACATGTAAATATAAATATACGTTTTAATGTTAAACGTTGTGGTGAATTTGCAAATAAATTTGAACATGTCCATAATGCTTCATTCAATGAATAACCTTTTGATGGTGTTGAACCAAATAAATCAGTATAGGTTTTTTTATATGTTTCTTTATTTGATAAATTTTCTAATTGTATTATACGTTCAGCTGATGGTTGTGCTAATTCATGAAGTATATAAATATGATTAAAATCAAATGGATTTTTATTTTTTTCTGTTCCATATAGTATAATACCACTAAGATCTTTATCATTGGATATTATTTTTGATTGATAAAAACGTTGACATGCACGTATAACTAATTGAAAACCAGTTTTTAAATCATTATCGTCTTCATTCTCATCAATTGATGAATTTGATTTCATTGTATTAGATAAAGATTCAAACATTTCTTCTGCACATTCAATTAACATTAATGTACCATCACGAGTTGTTAAAATCTAAAATTCAAGTTTTTGTTTTTTTTTTTTCGTAGAAAATAATTAAATCAATATAAATTTTACTTGTCTTCCTGGATGATCATTATCTAATGCTTCGTCATCAGTATTACCAATGCCACCCCAATTTTGATCAAGAAGAGACATCTGAATAATAATAAAATAGGTTCAATAAAGCTATGATTTAAAACTTAAATAATTTTATAGCAAAAAAGGAATGACATCCAACATGAGCAATAACATTAAGCAATCATTTGATTGGT